ATTTTCACCTCTAGTCAATTCCAAAAATCTCAATTGTGAGACTATAGGTCGAGTTTTAAATCATTCAATATAGGTGAAAATTGGAAAGGAGTTTTCTTATGCTGCCTAGTTTGATCGAGTTTTTATTTTATTTGAAAATAATATTTTCATTCAATTTCCAAAAATTCCGATTTTAAGACACAATATTACTTTTTTAGACAATATTATGATTTTTTAAACAATATTTCTGAATTTATTTTGAAAAAAATATCGATTTTTAGATTATTAAATAAAGGTGAAAATTGGAACGGAGTTTTCTTACTCCGCCTATTACGATCAGATTCTTATTTTATTTAAAACAATAATTTACATTTGGATTCAAGAAATTCCGATTTTAAAACATTATATTATTATTTTAGACAATACTTCTAACAATATTTTGAAACAATTTATCGAGTTTTACATTATTAAATTAGGGTGAAGATTGAAATGAAGGTTTCTTATCCCGCCTATTCGGATCGAATTTTTATTTTATTTTGAAACAATGTTTTCATTTAAATTCCGAAAATCTTAATTTTGAAAGCAATATTTCATTTTTTTTAAAACAATGTTTCAATTGTTTAAAGAATATTTCTCAAAATATTTTCAATGTTTAAACTATATTTTGATTTTTTAAACAATATTTCCCGAAAGAGTTGATTTTTTTGGAATTTACGTGATTTCGATTTTATATTAAATTTTAATAAAAAATAATAATTATAAAAAATATGTTTTAACAAGACGCGGTGCGTGTTGTTGAAAGTCCATTTTCATGTAGTGTTGTAAATTGAAGGCATGTGAGAGGCACATGCCATTTTCCATCCAACTTAACTGCAAAAGTTAACGGCGGACCAATTCTGTCAAAAAATGGCATGATTAAGGACTACTTTTGTAACTCCAAAATGTTTAGGGACAGTTTTGAAAAAGTGGGTAAAGTATGAGGACGGAAAATGTAATTTTCCCACATAAATCACTATCATTTTATCACTCATTCTTGAAATTCAAATTTCTACATACATTTATTTGTTTCCCTTTATTCTCATGTAATTCCCATGAAGTCATTCATGATAATTAAATGGGGTAATGGCAAATAGGCCCATGACAAGGGCAGTTAATTAAAATAGGGACATCCAATTTTTTTGTCTTTCAAATAAATCCACCCCATTCAAACTTATTTGCAAATAAGGAAAATCCCTTTATATATACCAAAATTACCCCCAATTCATTGAAACCCAATTCAACTCCAATTTCATGATTTACACCCCAATTTAGCCCAATTTCATCAATTAACCAATTTTAACCCAAATTTCAATTTTGACCCCAATTTTAACCCTAATTCGTATCAATTCCACCAATTATGCTCTAACTTCTTTAATATTACACATTGACCCCGGATTTTAACAAATATATCACATTAACCCCCAAAACTTTTTTTTTTCAGAAAATAATTTTTTTTCTGAAATATTTTTTTTCCGGCCAGATTCCGGCGTTGACCGCCGGAGACCGCCGGTCTCCGGCGTTGACTTTTTTTTTATTTTTTTTTTTATTATTATTTTTTTTTTGAATTTTGTTTTCCTGAAATTTTTTTCCGGCCGGTCAACGGCCGTTGACCGCCGGGTCTCCGGCGTTGACTTTTTTTTTTTTTTTTCTTAAAAAAAATATTTTAATTAATTTTACTGTCTTGGCTGCTAAATTACTGTCTCCGGCAGCTATTTAACTGTCGGAGACAGTAATTTAATTGTTAATTGACTTTTTTATTCTTAAAAAAATATTTTTAATTAATATTACAGTATTCGTTGCTAAATTACTGTCTCCAGCAGTTATTTTACTGTCGGAGACAGTAATTTAACTGTTAATTGACTTTTTTATTCTTAAAAAAAATATTTTTAATTTAATATTACCGTATTCGGTGCTAAATTACTGTCTCCAACAGTTATTTAACTGTCGAATACAGTAATTTAACGGTTAATTGACTTTTTTATTCTTAAAAAAAATATTTTTAATTAATATTACTGTATTCGTTGCTAAATTACTGTCTCCAGCAGTTATTTAACTGTCGGAGACAGTAACTTAACTGTTAATTGGCTTTTTTATTCTTAAAAAAAATATTTTTAATTAATATTACTGTATTCGTGGCTAAATTACTGTCTCCAACAGTTATTTAACTGTCGGAGACAGTAACTTAACTCGTTAAGGGACTCCGTTTTTTTTG